TGTTGTGTTCCTGACAATGCTGGGCGACAGCTCAGTGGTTAGGCAAGTCACACAGAAGCGGAACATAAAAATAAGAGGGTGTCAGCATGGTCCATATTAGCTCTTTATACGGTATGGCAGGATATTTATGCACTCTGTGAGTGAATATCCTTTGGTTGTCACTTGATGATCATAGTAAGAGCTATCCCTCTTGAAATGATGTTTCCTTTGCATTCTAGAAAAAAATTGTAACATCAGATGTTTCTTTCCTCTATTCTTCTCTCTTGGTGTAACTTCTATTTCAACTTTGCTGCATTTCCAAACTATTTTATTGGAATTGAATATGTTGCTGTGTTGGGCACTCTTCCTCTTTCAATCAAACAATCTGCTTCCTTTCTCTTCTAGTCCGTAATGAATTTATCTGTCATTTTAATTTTGTTTGATGAAGAATGTGTAACTAATTGCAATTTGTTGATCAAGTAAGTGGTTTGCAAAGGTAAATCAATATGGTTTAATGGTTTCCAGATTCAGTATTGTGTGGGATAAAAGGGTTGATAAGAGTGAGCTATGTAGGTAATAATTTCGTTAGTTATTGTAATGATTTTGTTGTTCTCCGTATGGAATGGGAGTGTGAGTATCTTAGCTGCTGTCTTTCTGTTATGATGTTCTTTGTACAAAGAAAATCTTTTATTATTTGTTTGTACAGTTACTTCTAAACCAGTTCTTTTTTTTAAAAAAATAATAAAAACTAAACATTCAAGGCTGTCATTTGTGAAAATGAGTGGTTTTTGAAAGTCTTTATAAGCTTGATAAAGTTCATTAAATTATGTACAAAAGTATCAAAAATTTATCTCGTCTCTTTTTGGCTATCGCTGACGGACGGTATCTCGTCTCCTACAACTGAAGTGCTTTCGCCGACGTCTTCTGACACGTAGGCGGTTTGTAATTGCCGTGTGACATGGTGTAAGTATGATGTGGCCCCGGTTGCGTGTGTCCATCCCGTATGCACATCCTGCCACCCGTGCTGCCACGCCGCTACGCTACGCCACGCCACGCCATCCACCCACCCACCTCCCCTCCAGATCACAACAAACAACAACCATGGGCGCCGGCTGGTACTTGTTGGCACTCTGTGCCTTGTGTTCCGCCCTTGTTGCGGGTCAAACTTTTAGTGAAACCATAGGGAAAGAGCAGTCGTGTCACTCGTTTGCCGGAGGTAATGTGTACCCGTACACCTGGCCACACGGCGGGGACCACAAGCTGCAGTGGACGAAGGCAGTCAGTGAGTATAGGTTATAGGGTCATTTACCCTAAGGCTCATGTACTTTTAAGAGCAGTCGTCAAATATTGTTGCTGCTGGGTTTATGAGAGTGGATCGGTAGTTCTGAAAGGTCGGCCTTGGCATTCATCTTCTTATCTATTTCAGTTTCCAAACCTGCCCCTGAATGGAAGGGGACTGCCGTTGTCAATGGGGAAATCAAGGAGATCAAGTTGTCGGATTACAAAGGAAAATACCTTATTTTCTTTTTCTATCCTTTGGACTTGTAAGTCACATTTATTTAAAATTTATCATGATTAATTACAGTGCTTATCTCTCTTCCGAAATAATACTTTTATTTTTGTATATTTTGTGTTTTAGTACATTTGTGTGCCCTACGGAGATTCTTGCCTTCAATGACCGTTTGGAGGAATTCCGTAAAATAAACACCGAGGTTGTGGCATGCTCCGTGGATTCCCATTTCACTCACCATGCATGGACCAATACGCCACGCAAGGAGGGTGGACTTGGTAAACTTAGCATTCCATTGTTGTCTGACATGAACCATCAGATATCCAAGGATTATGGCGTGTACCTTGAAGAGCTTGGCCACACACTGCGGTAATATTCTTGTTTCATGTTAAAGTAACCTGTGTGATTAGTTTGTCTATTTTCTGTCATGTAGTAACATTCCATTCTATCAACAGAGGCTTATTCATTATTGACCCCCGAGGTGTCATTCGTCAAATCACTTTGAATGACCTCCCTGTTGGTCGCAGTGTAGATGAAACACTGCGTCTTGTGCAGGCTTTCCAATATACTGATAAATTTGGAGAAGTTTGCCCTGCTGGATGGAAGCCTGGTGAAGACACGGTATGTATTGTTTGGATTGTGTATTGTCTATTTTATCAAGTATAATTTTATCACTTAAAAAACAAAATTCCCTTTCAGATTAAGCCAGATTTGATTGGGAAGAAGGAATTTTTCTCAAAACATTAAGATGGGTTTATTGATGCAAGTTGTAGCTCCTAAACATCACTCATGGCTCATGGGGTAAGAAAAATTTTCTATCTGAAGTTTATCAATCTCAACCTACCATCACAACATGTCTTCCTTGTGTGCATGTGCAATGCCCTCTATACTTCATCCAAAAATGAAATTGACATGGGTGTTAATGATTTCTCTGACCATGTCTATAGCTATATGATTAATATTGATGGATCTAGTCAATAGACTGATTTGTGTTTGGTATGTTACTCAATTATTGCCATTCCAAAAGAAAATAAACAGTGTAAAGTGCAACAGACTATTTTGAAAATAAAACTAAAAACAAATGCCGTATGTTCTTTGAGTTAAAACAATAATTCAACTTAGTTGTCTAGTGTAAAAATATTTTATTGCTGTCAAAGCATTACTAAAATTGAAAGTCTAGTTAAAATCTCATCTAAAAACAAATTTCAACATCAATGTCATTATATGCGCTGATGTTGTAATGCGTTGTATGCTATGTTGCTCTTTAAACTTGTGATGTTTTGCAAAATTAGATTCTTCAGCCCCTTGTCAGCTATACCCAATTCTTCTAAGTCAAGTTCTGTTAGGTGCATAAAAGTCTCTACATCCATCTAAAGATGAAAAAGAAAAAAAAAATTAATACCAAGGCTTGTCAGATTTAGTACTTGCTGTTAATTAATAAACATCGGAAATCAAGTTCTAAAACAACTCAAAAATCTCATCCTATGTTATGCTTAGATAAGGTTGCTATGGTTTGACTATACTTCCTTACCTCATGACTATTCATCAGTGGCAGGAGGAAATCCAAGTTTAATGAGCGCAGAAGAGCTTCTAGTTGGCTGTCAGAAGTTTTTTCATCAAAAGTAACATAAACTTTAATTTGTTTCTTCAACTTTTTCTTTTTGTATCTGGAAAGGATGAGCAAAATGAATGCAGATATGTAGATTCATACAAACGTAACTGAAGAAGAGTGTTAAAGAGAATGCACACCTTGCTTTTAACCGTTTCCACCAACTAAACATGTTCTTGGACCCCTTTACTTTTAGTTTGGGTCCCGTTTTGTTATGCTTTTGACTGTGAGTGAACATCCAAGGAGGCACCATGGGGTTTGGAGAAAAAGATGGACTTATGTAGGGATGGAAGTTTTGTGTATAATATCCAGATGATGCTGGTGGACAGGGTGAGCATGGCAGGCAGCCAGCTGGACACATGTACCTGGGACTTGGGGGAAATTTGAAAAATTGAGGACTGTGGGGTAGAAAACCTGGAGTTAGACTCTTAGGAGTACAGGGATGTAGGGCTGTCCCATTAGCACTACAAAACTGTTCAGTTGGTGTTGTGCTATTAGATATAAAATTGAAAAAATTTGAGTTTTCTGACAAGCTGGGACTTTGACACATTGGTGTGCATGGATGCAAGTTCAGCTTGTTGACATCACAATTTACATCAGATATCATGTCAATTTTTTTAAGTGTAGGGCATAAATCGATAGAAAAGGTAGGACTTATTTTTAGTTTAGGTGTGGTATGGAAAGAGAGGATTGAACTGAGGTCATTATACCCACTAATCATAGCACAGTCAAATGCAGTCAAGTTTGAAGAGTTTAAAATGTGTGGGTTGGCTCCAAAACTGAGGAGTATGTCTACAATGTCCACATGTCCTCCACTAGCAGCCAGCATTAAGGGTGTCATACCTGAAATTAGCATATCTAACATGAACTTCTTGGAATTTTATGACTAAAAACTATACTCACGCCAATTTGTTTTAAGACTTGCCTGAAATTGGTAGTGTTCCATTAACATCTACCCCTCTCCCAAGCAAAAGCTTGACAGCCTGAACCTTTCCTTGTTGACATGCAGTAGCCAGTGCTGGATTCAAGTTGTGCGCTATGGGCATGGAGGTCAAAATCTCAAGCAATGTTTCATCTTGACTCGTCACAGCAAGAGACACTACATCCCAACCTTTAAATGAGCAAATTTTTCGTTCAGATAAAATAATGAAAATCTTTCCGACTGTTTACAAAATAAAAATTA